CTTTTCCATACATTCTATTTCGTATTTTTTCGAGGATAAATCATCCCTCACTTGCTCCAATTCAAGCCTAAGAGAATTGATCTCTTTGGGATCAGATGAGCTTATTTGGGCTGGCTCCTCTATCATTCCTCCTATTACATCAGAATCATGAAACATCAGAACTGGTTTCAGGTCCTCCAACTTACCTTTCAATTCACATACTTTAGCTTCAAGAGAGAGAATCTCAACCTTGTCAGAGGATGAAGCTTTCTGGGCCAAAGTTGCCTCTTTCTTTAGCGTTTTAATATTTGATTTGAGCGATTTGATTTCAGCAATATATTTGGTTCGCTCTGCTTCATGCTCACGTTGACTCTCAAAATGAGACTTCCGTTCATAAGTAATTTGGGATATAAGCTTAGTATTTGCACTATTTAGCTGACTAATCTTATTTTCAATATCAGCATGGAATCGCTAAAACTCCTTTTCTCGCCATAAATACTTATCTACTAACTTTTCGTTAAGATCATTGATTTCTGCTTTAGATTTAAGGGCAGAATATAATTCTTCTTCGAGCTCTTGCTCATATGCACTACCAATCCTACGACCATTATTATTGATATCTTTCAATGTATATATATTGGTCATAGCTTTTTTTGGCTTAGTTGCTAGTATATTAAAAATTATGCGATTGAAAATTGACTTAGGTACCTGAACGTTAGTCTGAACTGTAAGAAAACTGTCATTTCCCGCTGAAAACTATTTTTATAGGATAGAAGATCCTATAGTACACATGGTATCGATACTCCTGATACTCCCAATACTTCTAATACTTCTGATACTTCATGTAGTATTAATTTTTTATACACATTTTTTACTAATACCACAAATAGTCTTCATACTATCCGTAGAATTAATCCTTCCGATACTCCGCATAATACTGGTTCTCTGCATAGTTTGATACTACATATAGTCCACATAGTATTAATATTTTGCGTACATTTTTTTATTAATAGTATGAAAATCTGATTGACTGTTAATATGATCAACCCCCTTCCTAGAAGATATATACACTCTGATGCTACAAAATTATCTTCTGCAGATTACAAAAATATCATGCAATACCAAGATATGAAATCCAAGCCTCTAGATCAATTAAGAAAGAGATTTCATATATCAACTTCTCGTTTATATCAAATTTGAAAAGGACAGGAGGTAGAAAGGGTTGAATGGAACTATTCAGCTGTCTCGCTTTCTTATTCAAGTACAAATGTTATAGATAGACAGGATATATCTGAAACCCCATTGGAGTGTAACATCATTACTGAAAGTAAGGAAAAAAAGACCAGAGGAAAGAAAGCCAAGTCTAAATCTGTTCGCATCTCTGAGTCGCCTGTTATTCAGATTAAATCGACCTCAGAAAGCTCTGAAGGCTTAAAAGGTGAAGAATTACATGCATTTTATAAGAATGAGGCTAAGAGAAATGAAAAAATTAAAGCAGATATATCCCGTTTACTAGCTATTACCTAATTATTTTTACTGTTTACTGGAGTAAACCATCTGCAATCTTCTACATGCGTCATTGAGTTCTGCTTTAGACTTGAGAGAATCGTACAACATTTTTTCGAGCTCTTCATAACTTACTTTTTTTTTAATGCATCATTATTCTCACTTAAGTCCTGCAAGTCCTGCAAGTCTTGCGAAATTCTATCTGGAGCTGGAAGAATATCACATTCAGAAGTAATGTTCGCGCAATTTATCTCAAGCTTATTCTTGACCTTATGCATATTGATTGGAATAAAAAATTCCTTACCATTATACTCTAGTCTCAACTCCCACTTTGATGCAAGTAAATCATAATTATATTTATCAAGTAAACTATTGGGTAAAATTAGCATCAGCTTTCCAAGATGGTTTTTGATTACTGCAAAATCAGAATATATGGTGCATCTGGGAGCAAAATATACTGGTACATTCCTAGTTATACCAAGCGACTCTATAGGGACTGTAGCAACACCTTTAAAGTCATACCTTTCACTTGTATCAATTTTTAGTTTTAATTGTTTGGCTATATCATCGGTCATAATTGCAAAATTAGCACTGGAATCAACCACAGCACCTGGATCACTAAGCGTTTGATTTTACATTATACCGTTACAATGTCTGTAGCAGGATTTTTTTTCTGAATGAAGTCAATTTCCATTAGATCATCCAAATATTCTTCCTCCTCTAGGTCATTTAGAAGGTCTTTAGAAGCTGGTGAAATATCATTCTGAGGTTCTATCTTTTCCTGAATAGGATGCACTTGTTTTGGTATATCAGTTTTAGAATCTTAGGGAAAAGGTGCGAGAAAAATTAATTTAAGTTCACTTTGAATAATCTTGCGGATGGTATCCTCTAAAGTACTTTGTTTGCTTTGTTTAACCTTACCAGAGCTGACTATGGGCTTCTCAATATTTGTCTTCTCGGCTTGTTTATCAGATTTATGTGACTTGGATTTTTTCTTAGACTGCTTCTTTGAGGGTAATTTCTTAGGGCTAGACTTCTGCTTCACTTTTTTTTTGACTTAGCCATATTAATTATATTATATGGTGATATACCACTAAGCTCACATCTGGAATTAGAAGAATCTGAATCAGAACTTGAATCAGAATCAGAACTATCACTAGATGAGGTATCGTTTGAAAAAGAATCTGAATTCGAATCTGAATCTAAAGTAGCGAGATTAACTTTAGCTTTCTTAGACCTCTTTTTCTTCTTCCGAATGCATTTGCGAGAATTATGTCTAGTTCGATTACAGTTAGAATACTGCTGTTGCGTCTTCACAGCTTTTTTAACTGCTTTAGCCACGTGTAAACTTAACTGCCTTTTTGTGAGCCCAGCAAGCTCTTCATCGGAATCAACTTCAACCTTTTTCTTTGGTTTCAGTGGCAACTCAGGATTGGGAACAGGGGTGAACTCTGGAATTTCTCCTGTAATCCATGATATAAATCTACCTATATTCTCATCTCGTAAATTTTTATACGTTCCTGCAGGATGTGGTTAGAATTATAAGGGAGTGGGTGTCATACCTGATTGCTGGGGCTGTTGAGGTTCTGAGGATGCTATTGTGTTTTTTATCAAGCTCTCGATTTCCATTTTAGTCATCCCTGATTTGTTAGTTTCTACATATGGATTAGCCGCCGGAAAAATTGGAAAAGATGACGGCGCACTCTTTTGAGATAATATAAATTTTTCTGCTTCAGCTAGAGCTTATGTAATATTATCTTGTGTATCATGAAATTTGGTCATCATTCGAAGATTATATTGATTCATCGAAGACAGACCACGAATAAATTGCTCTTTTGCTATTTAGGAGTCATTTCAGCTAATTTACCAATCTTTTTAATTCTAGTGAAGAATTGCTCAACTGACATATCACCTTGTATGAGTTGACCAAAAACTGCCGTGTGTTTTAAGTGTTCAACTGTTGTATAAGCGATTCTAAACAGGTATAAAAGTTGACCAAGCTTAATACCAGGAGCAATAGTAACAGCAGGAAGACCATCTCCAGCATTAGGTGCTACTGGTGCATTATCTACAGGTTCACCACCAGCTATAGACCAGTCTTCATCCCATGTTCCATTTGGAATAATATCAGCACCAGTTGTGACTTCTGCTCCAATTCTACTGATTTCGGCGGCCGCCTTATCTTGAAATTCTCCAGCAGTATTTAAACCACCTATTTGATTACCTCCATTTCTGGCACCCAAACCTCGAACAGCATTTAAGTTTGCTACACTTAAATTGTCTGAAAGATTATTACATCTCCAATTTTTACCTTTGACGTGGGTTAAATACCAATTTAATGTATCACCTGCAAGGCATAATACAACTAATCCAAATGCTTCTTCTCTTCCAGCGACCTGACCTACACCAGGCGTAACATTTATTTGACTAACTATTATATATCTTTGCATGTCCCTAAGCTAATCTTCTGGATCCTCTTCAGGACGTCCATAAAATATTGGAGGTCTGTATCCTACCATACCTATTTGTTGTATATTAGGAGGATTGTTTTGTAATGCTAAAATAATTTACCAGGAATTTCTATTTATTAGCTGGAAAGCGAATTTCTCATGTATTAATGTATTAATACGGGCCTGCTTTATAGTATTATTATCAATAATCGCCCCTTCCAATCTTTGGAAGACGCCATACCATTTTTGATGCCCCAAAGTTTCATCTCTATATCGGTCTTTCCAATTCTGAGCTTGACGAATGACACAACCATGCCTCCTTCTCCAGCGTTCTGTATCATTATTATACCTCGCAGTCCACCGATGTGCGGTTCTTCTGAGGTTATTGATTTCGGCATCTTTGCATCTCCTAAGATCATCGATTTCAGCATCTTTACGCCTCCTGAGATTATCAATTTCAGTATCTCTACGTTGACGTGCATGTCTTTCATCCTGTAAATCCTGAGTTAATATGCAGATATTACGCAGTGCCTCTACTTCTCATTGTTCTGCATTCCTAATTTGCGCAGTTTATTCTGTAAGCCGTCTATCTCGATTCTCCTAATATCGTTAGGTTGTTTCAACATATCTAATAGTATTAGTTAAGCTTGTGGTAATTTTATCAAATTACGTAACTATATCATCTGAGAGATTAATATTTCTTTCATCCAAATGTAATCGAATTTCTGCTACGCAACCTGAAATGTGTAACCGCTCATCTAAAATTGATTGGAGAGCATTATTCATATTACCACTATTCTCCGTTCTTTTTCTATTGCTCGAAACTTTTTCCTGACTTCTTCCAGTTATTTCATGAATACGAGTTTTAAGCTTCTTAACCTTATCTTTTAACTCATGTAAGCGCTCCTCCCCAGATAATATATGCTTCTCCTTTTCCTCTACATATTGTAGAGCTTCACGCAGGCGCTTCTTGAGAGACGTGATCTCTAATTTGAGGTCTTTTATCTCTTTCTTATGGGTTATGATAGTACTATCCTGAAATGAGATAGTTCAATAACATTCCTCAAGCTCCTTCACGAGGGAGTGAATTTTTTTCTCGTTACTTTTATTAATAGATATTTCATCTCGAAGTTCACTACGAAGCTTCCAGTTCGTATCTAAAAGCTCTAAGTATGCTAGATCGCATAAAATGGTAAGCATTATATTTTTAACCTAATTTATAGAACATCATATAATTGTGATCTGAGAATGAGCTAACCGCAAATTGTGATAGACCCTGATGAGGTTCAGAGAATTGAAAAAAATATTATATTACGAGATACATATTATCGTCCCCTGGGTATTACTCTAACCCTAAATCATTGAGAGATGCGTGTAAAAAGAAGGGGCATCGATTCCGCCTGAGTGAATGTAAAGAATTTTTGGAAAATCAACAATCGCACCAAATCTATACCCTCCTACCAAAACATATCTCTAGAGTCAGTTATGGGAAAATCACACAACCAAATTGTGTCCACCAGTGCGATATAATGTTACTTACTCACGATTACTACAAAGGTAAGATCTATAAAGTGATACTTAATATAATAGACTGCGCTTCCTAATATAAGGTTTCGGTTTCACTCACATCGAAGAAAAGTTCAGAAGTTGTTAAAGCATTTAAGAGAAAATATGGAGATCGAAATAACCCATTAACTTGGCCAAAGCTTCTTCAATGCGATAATAGATGAGAATGGATGGGCGAGACCTCTAGGCTAATGCAAGAGCACAATGTCACTATTCGAGTGATTGGTCCATATTTCCATCGAGGTAATAGAATGGTGGAACATTTTAATAAGACGGAAGGGGAAATGCTCTATAAAATTCAATATGCTGTTGAGTCTATATCTTCTGATCTAAGATTAATAAGAGCATGGGTTAAGCATTTGCCAAAAGTTGTCGATTACCTAAACAATTACCTACATGCCTTATTAGAGCTCCGGGTACTTCAAAATGGGGATTAGCGCCTTCAGAAGCCATTTTATTGGAAGAGGTTGAATCTAAGCCATCAATATCATCGAAGCAACTTATTGGCAAAGATGAAATAATATTGAAAAAAGGTGATTCAGTTCGCTATCTTCTTGCAAATGCTGAATGGGAGGGAGGAATGGAGAATCAGAAAAGGGCTACAGACCCCACATACTTCCCTTCTATTCATAAAATCTGAAAAATTGTGGTCTCTAAAAAGGAGCCTGTCCTATATTA